GATCGGTCAGCCTTTTGGCAAGCTTTTGGGCAAGCCTCTGGCAAACCGTCCACGAATAGCAGATGGAAAACATAGTGACTTAAAGTAACAATGCAAAGTGCAATACAAAGAACATATAAGTGTAGATAAAATTTCACATCATGAATTTTGAGTCAAGTTCTCTAAGTCCCCAGTAGAGTCACTAGAAATTGTAGCTTGCTTTTTGTGCTCCTCGGAGGGGTTTAGTTTCCTCGGACATGACAGCCCTATAGTTTGGACTCCTGTGGTTTTGAGTCTGGTTTCACAAGTGCAATGTGAAATGGAGAGACATAAAAGAGTCTAAATGCGGCAAACCTTTTTAGAAAATTAATTTTTAATCAAAAAATGCCAAAAATAGACTACATTGATAGATTTCAAAGTTGCTACCTAAATATTTTTAGGAAATTCAGAAAACCCGTGACTCGTGCCAAAAGGTCATTAGTCCGTCAACACCAAAGTGTCTCGGCTAGGGAACTTAGGTATGAGAGGGGAAGGTCATGAATTGAGCACCTTACTCACCCGATCAAAGATCGGTCTCTACTAATCATGATGAGATTCTTATTTACATTATATGCTCTGTTTCGATTATTTATGCTAATTTTACTATGTGATGCACACAAGTATAGACTAATTTGCAAAAGTTGTAACACTTTGATCTTATGTTTGTTTTGAAAAAAAGTTTTGAATACGCGTCACTTAAAAAAGTGAACTTGTATACATTAGTCAAAACATCCCAATTTAAGCAATTAGCCTTCATCCATCGGCATTCAAACAGGTATATCACTTAAGTACTTAGTCTTATGAAAAATATGCTCGATATGGTAACACTAACACTCATGCAATGCGCTAAAGCAACACAACCGAGGCAAGCTAAAAGGAAAAAAAAAATAGTTAGAAAAAATACATGATCCTAACAATGTGAATGACTAATGCAACACATACAAAATGCAACTATTAGATTCGGCTTCCTAACATGGCATGTGAGTCAATTCAAGGCATGCGTAAAGCACGTATTCGAATAAGGAATTTGCTTTTGACATCGATTAGTATGATGAGCCGAAACCTTATGTATGCAAAACGAATGGATGCAAGTCATGAAAAATGCTAATTAAAACATGATGTTCTGTGATATCCATCATAAACGAATAAATAAAGAAGAGAAAGAAATGGGGGTTGGAAGACATACATAATTATTATATATTTTTCCCTCATGCAAGAGGGTCCGAATATCCGAGTGTCCGAATTAAACTAACTATTAGAAATCCGAATGAATAATGAATAACTAACTAGCTATCTAATTTATTACAACAAAATATTTAAATGATGCACAAGAATCGTATACGCGTTAATGAAGATGGTTTGGAGAAACTGCTCTGTTTTTCCTCTGTGCAACTATTCTGTTTCACCTTCAGCCATTGCCCTCTATTAAAGTACTCTGTTTACCAAACATTGGAGCCCGACCGGCCCCCAATGAGGCTTGGCCGAGCCCAAGAAGTTCCGGCCCCTATTTTCTTGTAAAAAAATGTTTTTGTGCTCTAAGGTGAAAACAGTACAGACAGAGCAGTTATAAACCATGTTTGTCCCTTCTGCTCTTCTCTATCATAGAAAAACTCAAGAGAAGAACAGATTCGATTTTGAAACCATTAATGGTTGCAAGTTGATTGCGTGATGGTTTTGGACACGATTAGACCAAAAATCAATAAATGTAATGAAAGACAAATCACCCATTCCTCCAATCATAAAGGTAGCTCAAGCAGGGAGGTAGACACGCCTCAAGAATCATCAAGCATCACAAATTAGTATGTGATGACTCTAGAAGCGTCAGATTGGGTATAACGTTCGACCAAATCCAACCAGTTTTATTGAGCTTCTTTATGTCGGTTGATCCAATTTTAAGCTGATTTTATTAATCCTTTTTAATTTACCTTTCCATTCTTAGTCATTTTGCGAAAAAGTGAGAATTAAGTCCACTAAGTGTAAAAGCAATAAAGATGAAAAAGTATCGACTTAACTTGAGAAATGAGCCTTTCAAGCTAAAATGAGGAATCAAACTTGTTTACAAGCGATAATGGATTCCAAATCCAACCCAAAATGAGCGATAATGACTATTCAAACTCAAAAGAGCGATAATGACATAGCCAAACCCATAATGAGCTATAAGGACTCTAAACCCAAACTTGAGAGCAAGCTATAATGAGACATACCTTTGTGATTTCCGAGGGCCTAACTAGAAAGCTGGTCCCTTAGAAGTAAATACACCGATGAGAAAGAGGAAGGACAAACAAAAGGTTATGTTTAGCATAAGAGAGATACGATGCCTTTGGTAATGAACCTCCGAAGAGATTAAACCATTAAGCATGGATTTCTTTCTTATGCTTGAACAACAACCTTTTATTAAAACACAATTCTTTGATCAAAAAAATAAAGAATAGAGGGAGTTTGCAGAGATGATTATGCAAAGTTGATTATTACAAAAGTGAGACTCTTTATGAGAAAACTATGTAAATAAAGCTATCAACTCAAATGACTCGATGTCTAAGGCCTAAACAACCAAAGCCATGATGACTTACAACAAAACAAGTATAATATTCAAAGCACAAACTAATTAAATGAATTCAAACAGCCCTAGGCAGCGCCTAAAATGTAAAAGACAGTAAGTAAAAGTATGTTTAAAGAACACAAAAAGATAGGTAAGAACAAAGAGACACAAAACTAGTAAGCAAGACCAAGGAGAGGTGGCTAACCACTCCACTTTTGGGACATCTAAATCATGTCTTCCAACCCTTTTAAACTCTAAAAATCATCATGTAAACCAAAGAAAATAGTGGGAAAACAAGGGGCATGAGCTATGGGATAAGGTGCGAGAAAGGGTGTTAAGCTTCTCTACCTTTGGTAACTCTTTAACCCCAAGTTTCAACATTTGGAATTGATCCAAAATAGTATAAAAACTCAAGAAAAAGATTGAAATGAAAGCAAGGAAAAAGGTGGCAAGCTTATACCTCTTGAAGAGAGCAAGCTTTGGTTGTAAGCCAAACTTGATCCTAGAGCACTCTCAAGGTTGAATTATGGTTCTCAAGCCTCAACCAAGGCTCCAAGGTCCAGCTCTAAGGGTGTATGTGGTGTATAGATATAGTCCAAAGATGATAAGCTAGCTCAAAGATAGCTTGTAATGGAAGAATGAGCTCTCAAAGATCTTTTTCACTCTTTGAAATTTTTCTAACCCTCAAAACATAGGTGAGGCCTCATATTTATGGAATTTGAGCGAAATATGTCATAAATATCTTCAAAAATAGACAGTTGGCGAATTCTCGCCTAGAATAGTGTTTCTCGCCCAAAAGGCACGACCGGCTCTTCATAGCCACGGTCGGGCCCCAATGCGGCTTCTTTGCTCTTCTGTTTCAAGCTCAATATAGGTTGACACAATGCTAAAAAATGGATTTTTGAGGGATAAAGGTATAGAAACAGCTTGGACATGGAAGGTTAGGATTGTTTAGAGCTTGAACTTGGATTCCTTCGTTAAGAATTCAAACCATTTACAAAATGTAACGTTCATCATCGAGTGCTCAAAATAAAGTGTCCAAGTCTTGCGGGTGATAAAAAATGGGGTGTTTACACTAAGGAAACTGGATAAAGGAAGTACTTGCTAGTAGCCATGGATTACTTCACAACGTGGGTGAAGGCTGAACCGTTGGCCAAAATCCAAGATGTGGACATAAGAAGTTTTATCTGGAAGAATATTATTACCAGATTCGGGATTTAAAGAGCCAATGAAGCAAACAATGGCACCCAATTTGACAGCAAGTTGATCAATAATTTATGCGCGAAATACAAGATCACGAGCTACTATTCAACTCCTAGCTTCCCTCAAAGCAATGGCCAAGTTGAGATCTCTAACAAGACCATCTTGGATGGAATAAAGAAGAGACTAGAAGTTACCAAGGGCAAATAGGTAGAGGAGTTTTCTAATGTTCTATGGGCATATTGTCTAATCATTCCTGGAGTCAGAATTCATATCGAGGACGAATGAGGCATTTTTAGCCCAGGATATAGATTTGATTGAAGAAAGAAAGGAACAAGCAGTAATTCGGCTGGGGGCATACCAACAGAGACTTGCTAGAGCATACAACAAAAAAGTAAATGCCAAAGAATTTCAAGTTGGGGATCATGTCTTAAGAAAGGTTGTCGGCAACAAGAAAGATCCTAAAGAGAATAAGCTTGGCCCAAACTAGAAAGGCCTATATAAGATCATCTTAGTTGTCGGCAATGGTGCAGACCAGCTAGAAAACATCGATGAAAATGAATTGCCAAGACCATGGAATACAAGCAATCTAAAGTTCTTCTATCACTATGTTTTCTAATTTTTCTATGTAATTTAGACAATTTTTAGCCAAAGTATTGATTAATAAAATACTAGTCTGATTTTGTGCCTTACAAAATGTTGTTGAAATTCATAACTGTTAAATAAGACAAAGTTTTAAGCCAATGTTCCAAATAGAAATAAGACGTTTAACTTAGACTTGCCAGGATGACAGAGTTGAACTAAGTTAAAGAGATGTTTCAAAAAGAATCAACGCGAAACTAACCATGACCTGACTAGTTTGTGCGAGAAGCTGAGGTAGGAAGTACTCTCGGTGCACTAAGGTGAAGTCATTTTGTTTAGAGGAGCTAAACACGGTGACCTCGGTTATAGATGTCTAAGTTAGGCTTAGGCAAGATTCAGACGACGTATCCTTAATGTGAACCTAAGTTATACTTACATTCACATTAGGGGGCAAAGAGTATGGATGAATCAAGTAAATGTGATACTTGTTAAAAAAAATTCAAAATTGTTTTATGAGTTATTCGAGATAAGTAACAGCTTTATCCGAGATGTTGTAACCCGAGATGGTTATGTTATTCGAGATAAGGTGTTATCAAGATGGTATACTTAGAAGAATTCATGAAGTGCAAAATATAAAGACAAAGTACACAAGGCACATGAAAGCAGTATAAAGTAACGAACACCCAACACTTAGTCAAAAACAGCTATGTATTTAGAAAAGAGGAACTTGATTCCGTGCATGAGAAGGCACTTCGGCCTCGTAAAAAACAAACTAATTCAAAGAAAAATTGAAAAGAAAGAAATACAATAGAAAGAAGAAAAAGATCTTAAGTGCTAGATATGGGGCAATGTTCTCAGTCTGCCCCACTTCAGTGATTGGCGGTGTGTCGGCCTCAGTGGGTAAAGTGGTATCTTTCTCAGCCTCCGCGTCGGCCACGATTTCTTGGTCAAGTTCCTTCAGAGTGTCTTCAAGGCTTTTTTCGGCCTCGAGAAGGCCTTCTTTGATGAAAAACTCTTGGAGACTTCGTTTTCATCTTCACTGGTCAGGTCTAGGACTTGATCATTCAGGGTGGAAAACTTAGCTCTAGTAGTGTCAGTTTCATCTTTGCTTCCTTCTTCTTCATCTTTCTCACCCTCTTCGGGCTGGGTAGGCACATGAAGGAAAGGCAGAGTCAATTGTGTGAGATCCTGAAGTGGTGATTCCTTGAAAAGGTTAAGCTTCTTTAGCAATACAACCCAATCGAGTTGATAACCTCTATTATAGGCCTGGCTCACTTGCTTGCGGTACTAATCTCAGACATCTGCCTAAGGCCTTTTTGATCTCCTTGTCCTTTCTTGCCAGGGCCTCGGCCAGCTGTTGTATGGCCAAGTTAGCCTTTGTCTCAGCTTCTTTAGCTAAAGCCTCCACCTTCTCAGCAACTCTGTTCGCGATTTAGGTCTTGTCCATGTGCTTTTTTACTAAGCCCTCAGCCTGGTTTAGCTATTCAAGGAGGTTGGCGGCTTCTTGAGTTTTCTTGGTGAGGTCTTTCATCATCAACTCATGATGAATTAGGAATGAGTGGGCATGTTGGATCGGCTACAAGAATAGCAAAGTATTAGATACATACATATTTTGTTAAGTATTGAATATTGGAAATATGAAAGAATAATGCTTACCGTGACAGAGCTGCGCATCATTATTGTAAAATCATCAAACTCATTAAGCTACCGATGTTGTTTATAATGGTCGAAAGGAGGATGACAGTAAAGCATGTAACAACGACTTCGGGATGCTTCTGGGTAATATCCCCGACCTTGAGTGGTCTATCGTTGACAATGAACTCGAGGCACCATGTGTCATCGTCGATGATCTTGAACCTGAAAGCACGAAACCTCTTTGCATTAGGGGCTTTAGCAGATCCCAACATTGGCCTGTTCTCGGTTTCAGCCAGTTTTGAGATGCAGATAGAGTCCTCAGGATCTTTCTCTTAAAAAAAAGGGGAGGCGGTGACTTTGGCCTTGGCTTTGGCCTTTTTCACTCATTCGGCTTCTCGATTGTTAGAAGGGATGGTGAGAAGTGGATAGTGACGATGCTGGAAAGATCGAAAAGAAGATCCTTTGCAATGGCAAGTTTGCGACCCATCTCTTCGGAAGTGGTGGCGATGGTGACTCTGGTCCCAAGTTTGAAGGTGCGAAGTGCAATGGGCAAATTTTCAAGATCATGCACTGGCAAGTTGGAGCCTCAGCATTTCTTGCTTCTAGTTCTACTTGCGGAAGTGTTTAAGGGATGTCAGCGGCATCGGTGCTCGAAAGATGGGATGTGTTGTGAAGAAGCCGATGTTGACGGTTGGTTGGTTGGATATGATGTTGATCCCTAATCTGCTCTTGATGAAGCAGTTGGTGTGCTGGCAGATGGCAGATGGAGGACTCTTGCTTCTCAACGAGAGGTCAAGGAGTGGGGACTTGTACGTTGTTGTGTAGTCCAAGAGAAAAGAGGCTTTGTGGATGTTGATAGGCAAGTCCAAAAGCCTTTGCAGGTCGATCCTGGGAATGTAGTACTTTCGGAGGTTCTTGTCGGGGCTGGGGGAGATCCAAAAAACACAAAGATAAAGAGTTAAGTGATCAACAATGGGATGAAATGAAAAACTTAAACTGATAATGTACGACAAGTGTGTGTTCTAAGGGTGGCTTACTTTTATGGTATTCTAGGATGCTTCTGGGGAATGGAAAGAGACATGTAATCATTCCCCAACATAATAGAATCATTCTCACTAGCAAGTCTGATATAGACATCAACTGGGATATTGTATTCCTGATGAAAGTTCTCTATCTTAGTGGGGCTATCTACCCTCCACTTGTGTATACCTATGACCTCGGCTAAGTGGGTTCGGTATTGTTTTCTATTGAGAAATATTTTGTGTTTTATGTGGATCTATGAACCGCGGCGTAACCCTAAGGAGTACTGGGTTGAAGGTTTTGAAAATCTGGAGAAGAATGCGGGGCTCAATTTATTTTGGTTTCCCTAGTGTATAATGTTCTAGCAAATCCCAATCCTAAATCTAAATAATACAAGGATAAAGGCAAAGATAAGAGGTAGTGATCTAGAATAATAAGAAAAGGCAACCAGATTCTGAAGATAAAGATTGAAAACAAGATCACATTCAAGGAACTGGAAAGGGTGATTCATGACAATCAAGTGCCAGTATGCAAGAACCAGAAAAGTGATGTGCGAAAAGCATATATGGACACAGTGAGATTTGCCGTGAGTTACAAGTTTCCAGACATAGAAAACGCGGAAGCATGCTTAAGAATATAAAGAATAATGAAAGATCACAATCGAAACAGAGGGAATGAGAGACTTACAAGAGAAATGGACATTAGAATCGTGTTCACCAGAGTCATACAATGCTTTTAATCGGAGCAGAGTTATTGAGCGGGCATTGGAGACGGTGGAACGGGTGAGTTGCATGTAGCTTTGAAGTTTGGCAATGGAGTTTTAAAGAGAGAGGCTTTGAGAGGAGAGAGAGGGTGGTGAATGCAGAAGTGAAGAGATGGAGCGAGAGAGAAAGAGTTTTGTTGAAAAATGAGAGGGGCAGCAAGGGCCATTATTTCAAACCCTTGAGCGACGTGCCAGGCTGGTGCTAGGCAACGTCGTTTAGAAATGAAGCAACGTGTCTGACTCGTGACGAGTACAAACCAGTCTGGTAATGACACGTGGATAAAGCGGTTCGGGTAGTTATGAAATGACAACTCACACACGTCTTGAGTTCTTGATATTCTTGAACTAGGGAGTCCTGATCTCGACTAATAGTGCGAGCTTGATAGAGATGTTAATCTCGGACAAGAAGGATCATCTTGATTATTGGTTCTTGGTTCTTGGTTTTTGATGAGTGGACATTTGAGTCCTTGTTTCTTGAAGTCAACGAGTCATGATCTCAGTCGGAGGAGTATCTCTAGCATATTGTTTAGCCGACATGATAGAAGATCGAACGATATAGGTTTCATCACCTCATGTTGCCGAGGTAATAAAATCTAGGGGGCAGTTGTAGAGACTTATTTTTAGGGTCCCGCCACGTGGTCGAGGTGCCACGTGGATGAGCTAGATTGCTGAGGTAATTGAGGTATTGTCGAGATATGGTGCGGTAATACCGGAATCTAAGATATTTGGATAGATGACAAAAGTTCTAGATAAGTTGAGGCGCTTAGTCTGGATAGAGATGAGGCCCTTGAAGGGATTATTCTTATCTAACTAAGAGTCCGAGATAAGTGTTGTGCTTGAGTTCTATGAAGCAAGACTTCTAGGGGACGAGGGCACTGATCATTATAAAAGTAAAACATTTTCGTAGGTCTAAGGTATGCTTTTTCTTGTGCATTGTTCACTTCTTTGATATCTTTGGGAAATTGTTTGACTGACTTGATCATCAGAATGTCTCTGTGTGGATGAACTACTGCGGTATTTTTTATTCTCTTGTGTGTAGGTGTTCAGCTTAATCTATTCTGCCGCATGCTTGCTAGCTAAGTTGTTTAAATCTTGACAGAAAGATCTATTTGGTTGTGAGGTAAGAAATCAATACCCACAGTACTATATGAACATAATTTATATACAAAAGAAAGTAATCAGCAAACAAGATGTGATATTGACATTTTAAAATTTTAATTGTCTAGTCAACTCCCTCTCTAGGCCATTTAAATACTTTCTCAAGACTCAATTTTTCTGTACTCCAATCTTTGGTCACAAGAAAAAAAGAGAGAAAAAAGAGAGGGAAAAAAAGAAAAAGAAAAAAGAAGTATAAGGAAACCTAGCAAAAATGAAAAATATCATTATTGAAACAATAATACTAAAAATTTAGAAATAATATCCAAAATTTTACTAAGAAAAATTAATATGTAATTTAGATTCATCTAAACATGAACCTCACACAATACCAATTCTCAACCTTTCACAGTAGATTTCTGGACCAACTTTACGAGATTGTAGACTTTCTGTCATCAAATGGCTAAGCAAAATAATAATAATAACAATAAACTCAACTCGTCTATAGGACTAGGGAAAAAAAACTATAGACAACAACAAAATAAGAAGGATAAATTATAGAGCAGTCCACTATAATTAGAGCTCGGTATATTTTTATTCGAATTACATAATCTGTTTAATTTGAATTGATTCGGATATAAATGAACAGTTTCACAAATATAATGCAGGTGGATGTGATTTGAAATATGACATGATTGCGAGTTTAACCCGTCGCAAGAATTTGCTCACACTTAGATTTTTTTTTGTTTTTTTATTTTTTTAATCTAGACCGTTATTATTTTATTATTGCATTTTGGATAAATGTAAAAGGTAATGAAAAATTACTTTTAGGTAAGTTTAGAATTTTAAATGATTTTATTTTAATTGTATTGTCGGATAGTAAATAGTGAATGAGATTGATAATCTAGTTTAGGATTTTAAAAGATGTGATTATATTAGTTTTTTATTTGATTTAAAAGTTTAGAATTTTAAATGATTTTATTTTAATTGTATTGTCGGGTAGTAGATAGTGAATGAGATTGATAATCTAGTTTAGGATTTTAAAAGATGTGATTATATTAGTTTTTTATTTGATTTAAAAGTTTAGAATTTTAAATGATTTGTTTATGTTAGGAATGGATTTTGTTGTGTTTTTAATTTTATGAGTTTTAATTCATTAATTATTAATGTTGAAGCATTTTAAAAAATGGAGGGAAAATAATCCAAAATAAATATTTACGAAATGAAAAAAAAAAGACTCCAAAATAAATTTTTAAAGAAAAAAGTTCAATTTGTAAATCGCCTGCACATCCACGAATCCTATTAACACAAACCGCAACCCCCACTGCAGGCGGTTGCAGGTTAAATTTTTTCCAAACCTTATATATGCAGGCGTGTCTAAACCGATTCGTAAACCGTCTAAAACCAAACCGCTACCACCCTATCTATAATGAACTTAAATACTTATAAATTTTGTGTACTTTTTTAATGCATCAATAAATCTTAAAATATTTATTTACCCTAATAGTTTTACAAGATATTGACAGGTAAAAAGTGAAAAAAAATTTATAAGTAAATACTGATCTAATAGACCGCATGTAAGTCCCTCAAATAAAAACTCTTATCTATAGGCTTCAAGTAATAAAAGGTAAATAAAATATTCATTATTCAAACAACATGTAAGGAAAAAAAATAAAAAATTCTCTCTATTTGAAGATCCAATAATAGACACAGAAACAAATAAATTTAAAAAAAAAAAAAAGGGGAAAAAAAAGGGGTAAAAGTTTAAAGGAAAAATAAAAAAAAAAAATCTTAAAATTTAACATTATAACAAAATAAACCCCAAAATTTTAATTTATTTTCTATCTAAATCATTTATCTATTTTCGTTAAATAAAATCAATGGAAAAATAAATATTTTAATCATTAAATTTAATAAAAAAAATTAAAATATTTTATATATAACTATATTAAATTTAATATCAAAATATTATTTTTTCGTTTTAAATTGAAAACAAATCAAAAAAATTAGAATTTAAATTGGTAAAATTAAAAATTAAAAATTTATTTTATTTAAAAACTCAAATCTTAATTTTTTTTATTATAATTGTCTCAAATTTAAATAGAAAATATATTTTTAAAATTTCACCTAAAGTTGCAAAAATTATTGAGTTGGCTCGTCTTGTTGTACATTCTTTGTTGCACTTTAATGCAAATTGTACAATATCTTTATTACAAATCTTTAAATTTCTTAATATGTATCCTAAAAGTACAAATTAATAAAATATTTAATTTGAAAATAAAATAGCATAAAAATTCAATTTATAAAGCAAAATACAGTAGACATGTATATTTTGCCCCAGAAATATGTAGAAGCCACTACTCCTTTTAAGACTACATGCAGGCCCACTCTTAAAAAAGCTTCTTTGCGTAATGGTCCTTCTTCAAAATTCTCTTTAGCCCAATAAAAAAAATACAGAATTTGCAAAAAAATGGAGATGCGGGGTATCGATCCCCGTACCTCTCGCATGCTAAGCGAGCGCTCTACCATCTGAGCTACATCCCCTTTGTTCAATTATTTTTCAGACAATTTTCATGTACCAAATACACTAAGGCCCCACTCACAAACAAGTTACTTTAGTAACTTTTTACTTTTTGACTAAAATATGAAATAAAAAAAATTAGTATGTTTGAGATGATTTTTTAATTTTTTACGAAAAGATATACAAAAAGTAAAGAGAAAAAAAAATCTTTGATTTTTTAGTATAAGTTGTTAACTTTTTAATTTTTATTGTAATTTTTTAATTTTTAAACTAAAACAGTCACTTACCAAACGAGAGCTAAGTAATTATTCACGACCCGTGGTATTTACCACAATATTGGTGAAAAAATTAAGTAAGTAGAATATTTTATTGAGTGATTAAAAAATATAAAAAAATAATTAAATAATAATTAATTAAGAAATAGGAACACATAAATACTCTAGAAACATCCGATAATTTCCCAATAAACTAATAGTTTTGTGTCATTTCCTTAATATGATGGACACTATCATGTAAAATCCAAAATCAAAACATATAAAACACTTTCATATAAACGCAATTTATTTTACATAAAAAGCAAAAACAACCAATCTAATTGTGCTACATGCACAAAAACCATCACAGAATGATTCACAAACAAAACACAATTCATGATCCATTTTGTGAACGGAATTCTGTGCAAATAGTTTCTCTTTTTTTGTCTCAAGTCAAATTTAAACCACCTTTAAGTGGGGGTCAATCTCAATCCTTGACACCCCTTCCTTGGCTGCCTTAGGCACCTCAACCACCCCAACCACCACTCCATCCACCTCCTTCACCACCTCCTCGTCGACATAGTTAGGATCCTTCTCATCAATCGCCGGTGGCGCCGGGTCCAACTCGTTCTCCGCCTCGTCCGCCGGGCCCTCCCACGTGTACTTCCCGCCGTGTCCCGACTTCGGCGGAGGCCGAGCAAAAGGCAAACCGTCGGCCGGGTGGCGCTCCATCCTCTGCACGCCTTTGTCGACAAGTTTTTTCTCAATGTACTTGAGGGTGTCGACTTTGTGGGCTTCCAGCTCCACTTTCTCCACCTTTTTGTGTCCCTCTTCGTCTCGAATCGGCGCCTTTATCGTCACCGGTTTGCCCTTCTCGGTCTCCTTCTTCTCATCCATGGCCTTCATTTGGTGAGACTGTTGTTGTTTGATCTCCTTTAACTGATGTGTCTCTTGATGCGTGTTGTGGATTGTAGATGGATTTCAGTTTCTTGGTGATAGTGATAGAGAGGGAGAGGGAGAGGGAGAGGGAGAGGGTGGTTTTATATAGATAGATTGTAGAAGGTGCTGGGAAGATGTAGCTATGCATGGTGTGGACTAGAAACTTCTGGCACCTGTTCCCAACTTTGCATATTCATCTTGACACGTGTATGTTTTGGCACGTGTTAGTGGGAAAGGAGCACAGGTATTCGGTGGACCTCATTTCGGTCTCGTTTGTTTATTTATTTGTTTGTTTGTTTTTTTTTTCTCAAAGTTATGCAAGATATTATGAGTCAGCTTAGCTTTCGCTCACAAAATTGAGTCTTTTATCGTTGGACTAAGGTCTCGTTTGGGATGTCTTAAAAACGTGCGTTTTTTATTTTTTTATAAAAAGATATTCAGAAAAGTAGAGAGGTGATGTGATGAAAAAAAGATAAAAAGATAAAAAGATGGATTATATAGGTTATGCCAAACCTAGCCTTAGCAATTTTTTAGTTATTTGATTAAAAAAGTAGGTAAAAAAAATTTATATGTTTGGGATGATTTTTTGGCTAAAAGTAGAAAGAAAAGAGAATTTTTGACTTTTTAGTATGAGTTATTGATTTTTTGACTAATTTAGTAATTTTTTGACTAATTAACTAAACAAATAAGTTCCCAAACGGGGCCTAAGTCTTTTAAAACCAATTTTCTATGATGTATGGCCTCAAAAAATTTTATATTTTTCAAAAAAATCAAACCTCTGCTTTAACTTTTTGAACCCTTTAATTCATATAACTTAATAAAACTATTATATATACAAAGAATAAGAAGAAGATGATCTACTGTCAAAATTATGTTTATTATTAATTTATTTAAAGATAAATATAATCTGAAATGGGTAGATGTTTTTATTTTCAGTTTCATTTTGTTCAATTACTAT